TATATATATCTTGCAAATCAATATTTATGAAATGTTACGAGCTATGACGTTATGTTGACGTTTTTACATCGCCTTTTTACCTATTATTATTAATCTTGATTATATACTATGAAAGATATTATCGTTATTATTATTATTATTATTACGGTTTGTATTATTAATCTTTTTATCGCCCCATTATTATTGAATCTAAATGTTTATACTCACACACATATACAGACGTAATCAATAAAAAATTTCTAACATTTGTTGCTTGTTCTTTTTTCCCGAAATTTATAAAAAAAATCCTGTGATATAAACATTAATTATTTAGAGGAACAGATTATTACATTATTTTGACGAACTGATTGAAACTTACAACAACGGTAGCTGCTGCTAGTTGTGTAACACTTTTTGTTGGATTGGTTTACAGTGTTCTTTATTGAAAAGATACACAAAGAGATAAGCCTATGCATACTGTTACTACTTGCGTAATACTACTTGTTGGATTGGTTTATTCAATTTCTTTTTATTAGAAAAGATATACAAAAAGAGATAAAGCCAATACAATTATTCTGTACTATAAGAAAAAATGCAATTGGCACATATAAGGACTAACTCCAGACAGCACAAAACGTCCTCAGAATCATCCTGAATATGTCCAGGATGGTTCAGGATATTTGTAGGATGTTTTAAGATATTATTATAAATATATTTTATGAAAATTTAATATGCATACATGATTACTTTCGGTTATGTAGGCTATTTAATATAATTTAGAAATTTTAAGTATTGTAATAAGTATTAATGTCCTATAAATGTCCATTGGATAACCCCTGGATGTCTGTAGGATACCTGCCCTGTCTATTATATTGAATGTCCTTTGGATTTCCAGAGGACATATACATGTGCAATTAATTGTTAACATTAATTTCGTTTAATATTAATAATTGAATTTGATGCGCACATTTTCACATATTCAAAATTATTATTTATTTAATAATTTATGAGAAATGTTACTATGCGCAACATTCCAAAAACCTTACAAAAAATAGTATTCAACCGCTAGTTAGTTTGTTTACCGCTATGCGAAGCGCAAACTCGTATTTGAGATTTGGTCATGAGAATTATATAAAGCTTGCAAAGAGCAACTAACAGGAAATTAAAAATATAATTATTTTTTATCAGTTCAATTTCTGATGCAATCCAAACATAAGGAAGTCAGATATTGGATTGTTTTGAAAATATTACACGACTCAAACCCGGAAGCCAAACCTAAAATATTCATGTACAGCACGAAAACCTCAAATATTAAAGAACGTGAACTATTTTTAGTATTAGATTTTTAGTATTGGCAGTAAATAACAGAACGCAATCTTAATTTATATTTAAATTTTAGAATTTGTTCCTTTTAACGTATGAAAAATATCCCTAACATATCCTATAGAAATCCTTAAGATGTTCCACAGGATCTCCCTGGATTCTCCAGAGGCTAGTGTACGGCTATCATTTACTCTTCCTCAGGACATCCAGAGGAGATCCGAGGATTAAAATAGGATATCCTCAGGATATCCTACATGTATGTCCTGGATGCCCTTTGGACGTCCTAAGGACATCCTTGTGCTGTCTGGGACGTAAGGTTAAAAAGACATCAATAAAAAATATATGTACAAATTTGTGTGATATATATAAAAGTCCTTAGATCAATACCGTTGAATTTCATATAAAAATTTGTATTGTAATCCTTTGTTAGTTTTATGCATATTTGTATAAAATAATATTATTTCAAAAGCCCTGTTTCCTTACTTATACACATTTACCACATAACTTTAAAATGAAAAACAAAACGATAAACTATAATTTTATTTTACAAATATGCTATTAAAATAAAAGTACAAAATAAGGAGAAATTCTACAATTAATATTGTAAGACATATTTAAATCCGTCGCTTTCACAAAACGTATATCGATCATATACATAGAATAGTATTCTCTGCAGAGAATAACATTCTGCATTGGCATATCTCTAGTATTGGAATTTTCTGTTTCTATTTCTATCGCTATCGCTATCGCCTATCGCTATCGCTATCGCCTAGTATTGTGCAAGAGCTATTAATTCTAGGACTTTAGGATAATATCCCTAGGAGGCACACTCTCCTATTGGAGATCGAAACGTCATGCATTGGGCGCAGTGCGAGTTCTCCATCATGCATATATATACTTCGTGCTCCTAGTTAACTGACGAAAAACGTGAAGAGGAACGAAAGCGAACAGCTAGACGAGTTGTTTCAGCCGGCAGAGAGAGGAGGAGCTCGCTGCGCGTAGCGATCGGCGGCCATATTGTTCCAGCGCAGTGTTTGTTTTGTCGGTGCAAGCTGCGCGTTGGCCCCACGCACGCCTACGAATCCGTCCCCGTCGTCGGGAGGAGAGAGCTCCCGGCCTGAGTTTCAATCGTCGTGCAAAAATACTCTCGCGTCTCAATTCTCCCGTGTCGTTAACTTCTCGCGTGGTGCCGCTCCCCGTATCGCTCTGCGCCAGATCGTCGCGCCGCTCCCCATTATCCCCGTTGGCTCCCTCTCCGTCTTGTTCCCTCTCCCCCCCCCCCGTTCCTTCCTTTCGGGGCCGCGGCCCGAACGAACGAACGAACGACTGGGTGTCAGTCGTAGACGGCGCACAGTGAGCCCAGGAACATCGCGCCACCACCGTCAGCAGTAGCACCATGGCGTGCGCCACACTGAAGAGGTCCTTGGAATTCGACCCGGTGCACAGCCATAGCCGGCCCAGTAAGCGACGGAGGTGCATGCCCATGTCGTGCGCGTCGCCCGGCGCGTCCGCGTCGTCGCCGCGCGGCGGACCGCTGCCGCAGAAACCGTCGCCGTTCGGCGAGATAGCCAGCAAATTGACGCCTGGTAATTACACCGCAGGCTGCGGCCATTTTTTTCCCCTCTCGCTCTCTGTCGCTCTTATCGGCTTTTCTCCGTGTTTATCTCTGTCTCAATTTCTCTTCCTCTCTCTCTCTCTCTCTCTCTCTCTCTCTCTCTCTCTCTCTCTCTCTCTCTCTCTTTCTCTCCTTCTCTCCTTCTCTCCTTCCCCCTTGCTACGCACTGGTTTTCTTGCATACAGAGCGGAAAAGAAACAGAGCGAGGGAAGGAACGAATGTAGGAGAGAGATGGCGAGCTGGGGCGGCTAAGCTCTAGCGATTTAAAACCCGTATTCACAGACTCCTTGCGGAGAGAAGGGGGCGACACGCGTAAATCATATGGTAATGTAGTAACGGACGCGCTCGGAGATTCGGCTTTTTACGTTCCATTCTTGTTTTTCTGCAATGTTAAAGAAAGAGCGCAGAGATGCGTCCAGAAATGATGTATTTTCTATTTTTCTGCACGTGACAAGATTGTGATGATACGTAGTAATATGACACAAAAAGATTGTTATATATATATATA